TGATAAAGACTCATTTTCTGATTGAGTCGATGTTTAAAATTTTTTGGGACAATTAAATTTTAACCTGTGCAGATCACAACTTCGAAATAGACGAAAAATGACAAAAACCTACAAACGTATATAATACGTATATAACTATCCAGTTTTTTGCCAATACCTTCTCTGAGGAAATTTTGCAGATTGTGTACTATATAAGGATTTCAAACCCTATACATCGTATGCTTACCTCTGAAAGACGGAGCTTGTTTTGTTACGTATTATGTCTGGAAAACGAGTTTTTTGTTTTACTTTTGCTTTTTGCATTGTTTTGGTATTATTTTTTTTAAGAAAAGGGGGATGCCTTGAAACAGATTTTTCAAATGATAAACATCAGCTATAAAATACGAAATACTTTCAATGTTTAGTGAAATGGCAACAACTTTTTGACACAAGAAACATTCATAAGAGTAAAAGGAGATGCAAGGCATACATCAATAAAACAGCTAGCCAACAACACAAAACTGAACGGTATGAAATTTGCTGTTTTTTTATTTGATAAGATTCTCAGTTAAAATATACAGCACTCTTCACGTGCAAGGGATGTAGTTTCAAAAAGAGTCTGACTATTGTTGATATGAAAAAAGAAATAATCAAGAAAGAAGGAGATTTTTTTATCTGTTTGGTCATTTTCCTCATCGTTTAGTTTTTGCTTATTTGTATTTGTCTCCAGAAAATGAGTAAGACTTACGTAGAGCTTCGCTACTTTCCCAAAATTGTGTGTGCGTTAATTCCTTTGTTTTTCGCTTAACACCAAGAAGGTATATAATTCGGACCCGGTCACAGAGAACATACAAGAAAGTAGTACATATGTTAAACAAAATAGTTCCTACGCGTAGCTGTAACTTTGTCCAAAAGTAAAAGAAAATTGGTAATTGATTGATATCAAATGAAAGGCTCTACGTCTTAGGATCACGATAGAACCCTTGATGGAAGTTTCCCATAAATAATAAAATAGATATATGAAATTATGATGGGGGACATGTTTGCCCTGTTGCCCAGATCGGAAGTACCTGTTTTTATACTATCCAACTTTCGGGAACCAGTGAGCTCTATAATGTAATATGTTGATTTTTTAAGCACAGTCAAGTCGGGATCAGATAAATTTGCTATGAAATAACTGCCGCTTTATTCTAACTTAAGACGAAATAGCTATAAATGCTTAAAATTGCATAGTGGTTTTATTCCTGAAAACAATTTTTGAAGCAAGTGCGTGTCTGCGTTTCTATAGAATTCTGATTTTCTTCACTCAGAAAAATACAAAAAAAAAAGCAAATGTTTAAGTAGACTTGAGGTGAATTTCTGACACAATGGCTTTAATATGCATGGAATATTTGCCACTGGACGTTAAGTAGAAAACAATCAAATCAATCCACTATACTTGATACAAAGAAAAACTGGCAGTGCTTGTTTTTGTCAGCCTTCGGTGCACTCGGAAAATTAAGTGCTGCACGAATAAAAAAAGATGTGAGGTAAACGTCAATGAGACAGCAACCCAACTACAGAAATAACCAAAAGACATTTAGAGGGAGACGTGTAATCTTCAACAATAGACAGGTGTCCTAACAATATGTCACATAAGTGCTATCAGATTCATATTTTTTTCAGCCAACAGTATACACGTAATATTAAGTGCGAAATAGAAGGAGAATCAGACGTGGTTTATACGTCAATTGAACAGCAGCCAAACGACAGAAATAAAAAAAAAAAAATCTTGATGCAGACATTAAGTCTACGACAAATAGACAGGTGATTACACATTGTTGATATGTCTCGCTCTAAACTATCTCGATTCCATAAAAGATATACATAAATTCAACAGAAACTATCAAAGATATGCTATTCACACTCAATTCTCTAAATAAAGGGGGAGGGGGCATTAACATTACGATATGATATACGACCGTTAACGACAACGTACCTTGACGTGGGACACACACACATTTAAGAAAATGTAAATGGGCTATTATACTTAAGATTCATTTTATATATCTAACACCCCCCTTTTATCGTACAACATTCCTAGGAAAGAAAAGAGGACAAGATACAGCTAAGATTTAAATCTGTCGCCTCCACGTACGTACGGGTTTCACTCCGTCCCGTCGAGGGCTATGTTCCCAACAGACCTAGCCAGTAGTTACTAGACTGCGGGTTGATAACAACACATGCAGTGCAAACTTATATGTACAAATTATTCAATGAAAAAGGTGCAATATATCAATGTTTTGCAAAATTTGTGTATTTTATCACGAAAAAGCCATGATAAAGACTCATTTTCTGATTGAGTCGATGTTTAAAATTTTTTGGGACAATTAAATTTTAACCTGTGCAGATCACAACTTCGAAATAGACGAAAAATGACAAAAACCTACAAACGTATATAATACGTATATAACTATCCAGTTTTTTGCCAATACCTTCTCTGAGGAAATTTTGCAGATTGTGTACTATATAAGGATTTCAAACCCTATACATCGTATGCTTACCTCTGAAAGACGGAGCTTGTTTTGTTACGTATTATGTCTGGAAAACGAGTTTTTTGTTTTACTTTTGCTTTTTGCATTGTTTTGGTATTATTTTTTTTAAGAAAAGGGGGATGCCTTGAAACAGATTTTTCAAATGATAAACATCAGCTATAAAATACGAAATACTTTCAATGTTTAGTGAAATGGCAACAACTTTTTGACACAAGAAACATTCATAAGAGTAAAAGGAGATGCAAGGCATACATCAATAAAACAGCTAGCCAACAACACAAAACTGAACGGTATGAAATTTGCTGTTTTTTTATTTGATAAGATTCTCAGTTAAAATATACAGCACTCTTCACGTGCAAGGGATGTAGTTTCAAAAAGAGTCTGACTATTGTTGATATGAAAAAAGAAATAATCAAGAAAGAAGGAGATTTTTTTATCTGTTTGGTCATTTTCCTCATCGTTTAGTTTTTGCTTATTTGTATTTGTCTCCAGAAAATGAGTAAGACTTACGTAGAGCTTCGCTACTTTCCCAAAATTGTGTGTGCGTTAATTCCTTTGTTTTTCGCTTAACACCAAGAAGGTATATAATTCGGACCCGGTCACAGAGAACATACAAGAAAGTAGTACATATGTTAAACAAAATAGTTCCTACGCGTAGCTGTAACTTTGTCCAAAAGTAAAAGAAAATTGGTAATTGATTGATATCAAATGAAAGGCTCTACGTCTTAGGATCACGATAGAACCCTTGATGGAAGTTTCCCATAAATAATAAAATAGATATATGAAATTATGATGGGGGACATGTTTGCCCTGTTGCCCAGATCGGAAGTACCTGTTTTTATACTATCCAACTTTCGGGAACCAGTGAGCTCTATAATGTAATATGTTGATTTTTTAAGCACAGTCAAGTCGGGATCAGATAAATTTGCTATGAAATAACTGCCGCTTTATTCTAACTTAAGACGAAATAGCTATAAATGCTTAAAATTGCATAGTGG